GTCAAGACCAGTGACATACTAGAAAGAGAAGTACGTAGCAACGACTGCATAATGTAAGCAAATTCCACAGTGACACAAGATGGCGCTTCAGGTTGCATAACGTCAATCATTTCCTGGCTCTCGACGCAATCACCATTTTATGGCAAGCATTGATATTACGAGTATTTTTCAAACGCTAAAGCTACCATCATGAACACAGAAAAGAAGACCAACCTTACACAATCACCCTTTTCTGCAGTAGGTAGTGGTGGGACTACATGTACAATATTATAGGAAAGCTAGCAGTAACTTTCCCTCGAAAACTCTTCGAATAATGGTTATCGATACCACGAGGAGAACATTTCCCACCATCTACGTGTTGCAGGGAAATAAGAGAATGCCTTGCCGAAATGGCCGCGGGACTGATACCAGGCGTGTTAATGAAGACAGGGCCCGGCTTAACGAGAATATAAACTGTGACCAACGATAACAGCAGACCGCTAATGTTGGTGTGTAGCCAGGAACAATCCCCACAGCAAATTTCGGCAATGGTACCCTTGATACGAGGTAACTGCGAAAGGGCCGTAGAGTCGGAAAGTCACCGATTTTTTGCTTTGTTTTGTTTTGTTGTTTTGTTGGGTTTGTGTGTGTGGGTGTGTGTGTGTGTGTGTGTGTGTGTGTGTGTGTGTGTGTGTGTGTGTGTGTGTGTGTGTGTGTGTGTGTGTGTGTGTGTGTGTGTGTGTTTACAAAGGACAGTTGAACAGCTTTCACTTCTGTAATCTCTTGCATTTGAATACCCGACAATACAAGGGTAAAACAGCGCTGCCAGTTCATGTCATCCCATTTTGTTCTTATTTTTTTCTTGTCATGATAATCAAAAGTGAGTCCATCGAACGTCTGGACGTCTTCGCAAAAGCCAGTTTTTGGGATTGTTCTGTTTTGTTTTTTAAAATTGTTTTTGATGTTGAAGAGACGCTTTTTCCTTTGCCCCGGAGAACCAATCAGACTCCATGGTGTTTTTGGCCACTATCATACGGATCAGGATGAAACAATTTGTGTTTTAATGGAAACGTATTCTTTAATACGCAAGCGCTTTTTAGTTTCTGCTTTTTAATTCTTTGGTCTGTTACTGTGTTTTCACATCACGGGAATGGTGTTTGGCTTTTTCTTCTGGTTTGCTTTGTTTTGGGATATGACAACTTAGTGCTCACCCATATCTTGTCACGTTCGTCGAGACCTGCCACCTCCTGGTCACAGTCTGATTTACAAGTTTACACCTAGAATGATGGATAATTCCCAAAAACATAGCTTTTCTGACACCTGGTTATCTTTTCTTGTCTATTCTTTACCTAGCGCAATTATGTATGTGGCACCCAATAAAACCAAAAACAAAACAGATTTCGTTTCTGTTGTTCGTTTTTTAAAAGAGATTCTCCTTCAAATAGCATTACTTATTTTGGTTTTGTGAATTATCAGAATTTTAAAAGCTATCATGTTCAGATGGAAAATTCGATAGCACCCGTGAAAACTAGTGTTTCAGACAGTAAATCAGACTAATACACACCAGATACTCGCGTGTTTTGTTGTTCTTGTAAGGAAAAGAAACCCGTAAGTTTTGGTTTCACAATTTGAAGGTATGTCAAGTATTCCACCACCTGCTGCCTGACCTCAAAAATTGTACTTTCGCCAAGTATTGAACATTGCATTGGCAGTTGCACAAAAATGTTCCCTTCCTGACCCCAAAGTTTTGTTTTGGTATTTTTTTTAAACCGATGTTTGTCTTCCATGGCTGACTCAGCGAACATCTGGGGTCAGCTTGTGGTCATTAGAATATTGTGGTACTTACTTGTGTCTGTTCACCATATTGTAAAAGTCCAGATATCAGTCTTCTATCTGAAATGCAAATGACCATAATCAGGATTTATAATGGTAATTAAGGATTGGTTCGCATTTAGGATCAAAGGGATGGTGTACAAAATGATCGTCGCTCTTCATCACTTCAAAATATCAGTCAAATTTTAGTTTGCGTTTCAATTCAGTTGGTAATAGGAAAAAGGTGTCTTTTCTTTTTGTTGTTGTTGCACTTTTTGGCACCCTAGTCCTACATTGAGTTCTAAATGGAAAACAAATATTATTGGAGGAATTTACCAAATTAAATGCTTTACCACAGCTAATCTCGCACTTGGCTTTGATCTCCGAGTTACGAAAAGTAAAGACAGAGTCAACAATCAAGCCACTTTATTTGCTCGATCTCTCTTCTGCTCGAGCATATCAGTTTACAGAAACAAAATATATAATTCAATTTATTATAACATTTCTTTTTTTTTTAAAAAAGAACATATTAATACATATTACATGTATTATATACGTTCATACATATAAACTACATATTGAAGGTAGGGAAATTCAACGGAAGATCAAAATCTATAATGAAGTCAATTTTCTCAATCGGCGCAAGATATAACAAGATACGAATAAGAGACTGCAGGTGGCTCTCCCCACACACGGTTCAGCGAATGTGGATTGAATGTTTTACGTCTTCATTTTTTTATCTCGCTCTAATCAAATCAGAAAAGTTCTGTTCAGAATATAGGAAGGAAAGCATCGAAACGAAGCAGGAGCACAGAGATGTAAAATTTCTCAAGAACTCTATTCCAAGAACTTTCAATCGATATGAAGGAACGTTCAGCTTATAGAGCTGGGCCTGTCATGTGCCTTCTTAACGTCAGATAATAAGGTGGCTCAAACTCTATTTCCGTCGGCCACCAGGGGCAAACAGAGTGCTAACAAACATAAACACTTACTTTAGTTGAAGGTATCAACCTACCTAAGGAGTAATCATATCAGAGCTATCAAATATATGGAGGAATATTTCTAAATGAGATCATACGAAACCCTTTTAAACTTCAAAATAGCATTTTTAGAAACCTTTTGGGTCTATTTCTTGCTTGAGCTAATGCACCCAGCACTTTTAATCTTAAATCACGTTTTTATTGCCAGCATTTTACGCGTTTTGGATTATCTGATTTAAAAAGTGAGGACGGGAACCTTTTATGCAACATAGCTAAATAGCTAAAAGTACCCCCCCCCCCCTCTCCCAACCAAAAAAAAAAAGATAAAGATATCAACTGGAGTTCAGCGTTTAATTTTGCCTTTAGGAGACACAGAGCCACTCTAGTTTGGGGAAAAATCTCTGTGCACTGAAAACACTTTGTTGATATGAGCGAGCAGAATGTAATAATATAACCAGGGAAGCAAAATAACAGTTTAACAACGGGTACAGTTTTAAAAACAGGTTACCGTTGTTTGTTTTGTCTTTTTTATGTTGTTGGGTTTTGTTTGGGGGGGGGGGGGGGCGGTTTTTTTTTGCTTTGTTGGGGGGGGGGGTTTAGGGGAGAGGGGTTCCTCGTTATTTTTTACTGGTATATTACGATACACGCATGCTGCGTATCCCATGGACAGCTAGAAAAACAAAATGGAGATGTGTTGGTTGAAGCAAATTGCAGACGACAGCTTTGGACGATATACGAAAGCGACAGGCAAAGTTCATTGGACACACAAGGCGGAAAGAAGCATTGGAGAAGATTGTAACAACAGGCAAATTTGATGGAAAGAGGGGCAGAGGCAGAAAGAGGGAAACGATACTGGACATGTTGACAACATGGCTGGAAACAACAAGAACGACAGACACCATCGCTGTAACACAAGACAGAGTGAGGTGAAGGTCCATGACCGTCTGCACCAGTCGGCAAGGCACCGGATGATGATGATGAAGATGATATTACGATACAAGACCTTGCTTCTAAGGTATTATAAAAATAAGATTACTCAATATATATTATTGATTATCATAATTTGAGAGAATGCTTTTTATTCTTTCAGTTACTTCTACGACGCAAAGCATCACGCATATATTCTGATCTTAATCAACACATGACAATAATTCATATTATATCTCTCATTGTTTTTCTCCATCTTGTGTGTTAGTGGGTATGTGTTGGAGTTTGTTTTGTATGTCTGTGTGCGCACGGTCAAAAATGAGAGAGAGAGAGAGAGAGAGAGAGAGAGAGAGAGAGAGAGAGAGGGGGGGGAGAGAAAGAGAGAGAGAGAGAGAGAGAAAACAAAGGGGAGATAGAGAGAGAGATTAAGAAAGAGACAGAGAGAGGAAGAGACAGACAGACAGACAGACAGGCAGACAGACAGACAGACAGACAGACAGACAGACAGACAGACAGACAGACAGACAGGAGAGTGAGAGGGGGGGTGTCAAAAGTGCACACGTACTAAAAGTATTGATTAGAAAAAGGACATTATCGTCTTGACATTGTTCCAAGAAGAAATTCTGAACATAAACAAGAACATCTAATACAAAAACAAACTCTCATTTTGGATTAGTCTGGATGAGAAAACTGTAGACACTAACACCCACGAAATAAGTAGTGATTGTGACATTATATTTCGTTCCCCAAAACAGTACTAATAAGTCTTCAATCCACCTCACTGACATGCAAGCACTGTGACAGAATCTGCGCTTCAATTATAGGAAGAATTAGCGATGAAAGAAGCTGCATGAAGACAACCTTGAGACCATCTTAAGCTAAATTGACCGTCTGCATAGACGAAAAGAACCATACACTAATATAATAAGTAGAGCATAAAATCAATATTTTACTATATTATTATTATATTATTATTTTCTTCACTTGACGACTCGTGCATTTGTTAAAGAGATTTTAAATAGAATTGCCAGTATTATGTTTGATGAAGAAACTCTTTTCATGTTACATGTTACACAAGTGATTTTCTTTTTTAAGTCTTTTAAACTATTTGATGAGCTATGGGTGTTGTTGTGGGTGGTTTACTGGCGCTCTGATATTGTTTTTCTTCTTCTTTTCTATCAAACATCTGTCGTCTCTATCTTTTCTCCTTTTTTTTTTGGGGGGGGGGGAACATATTGGTTCTTGCTGTTCCTGTTTTTTAGCTTCCATTGAATCATTGCAGTTATGAGTAAAGGTTGATGAGCATGATAACAGCCTCTTGTCATCTGAATAGACTCGAGCAATAAAAAAAAGAAGTAGAAGCAGATCCATTACCCGTGTGTTCAGAAATGGCTACCTCTTGGTACAGGGTAATAAAAGTGTCATAATGTACAGATAAAAAGTCAGTCTGAGAAAAAAAAGCCAAACGATCATGGAAGTAATTGTTCACCGTATTCTACTAGTTACCGAAGAGAAGACTAAAAAGAACAGAGAAAACACGGTTAACTAAAGAGGAGCCTTTCAGGTTAGGAACGCGCGCCCGCTGAAAATATGCGATTTCTCGGCGTGTTCCGCTCTCCGCCCGCTCGCGACGGTGGTGGGTTTCGGCGGCGCTGGGCAAGCGCGAGGCAAAGAGCGACCGAGACAAGCGAAAAAGAGAGGGGGGCTTGTCGAGTTAGGCAGGAGAGATTCGAGAGGGCTCTCAGTTCGCCCAACGACTAGGGCTCAGTGCACGAACGCGGAGGTTTCTATTGGAATTATCGTCATTGAACTGACTTGGCGATTTGGTGATTTCTCCAGGACTTCTTCTGCCATGCGGACGAAGGGAACTTCAGTAACGCTGTTATTTTTCATGTCGTGATTGTAAGAGTGGTGTTTTTAGGTACTAATATTCAAACATAAGCTTTAAAATTCGCAAGGCATTGTGGAATAATTGACTTGTGGTCTGTCTTTGCAGTGTGTAAGGTACGCAGTCCGCTAATCCGATAAGGACTGGATCATAGATAACATAAACATAAAACCAGTAAATCCGGGTCTGAAATGTAGATGCAGACGGAGTTCTTAAAACATATGCATTGCACAGGTGTAAACATACCGTTTTCCAGAAATGTTTAACTAAGGCGTTTCATCTTGTTTTTATTAAACAGGCCTAAAGCAGAACCTTCTTCATTTTAGGTTTACAGTATTTAGATGTACATTACACCAAACTCCTTTAAACCCGTTCGTTTGAGTCGTAAAACGTCTAAACAAGCACGTAAAAACGTACATTCTGTACTCACAACTATTGGAGCCGAAACTATCAGCCTTTGCCTTTAGCGCCAGTACAATGTACAAGTAAAACCAAAGTTTGAAAGTGTTTATAAAATACTTATTGAAGATAGCGTTTCTAAATTTAAAAAATGACAATACTTTTTTTTAACCACTATTCTTCCCTAAAAAGAAATGAATTTTATGCACGACAGCTACGTTTCTTTTTAATTATTAATTTATTCCCAAGCTTATCTCTGTAAATTTCTTGAGCTTTCCAAATTTTATATAAAACAGTCTCTTTAACGTTTACTGTTTTATCTTTGTAATTGTAATTCAATCCGAAAGTGGATCTCTTTCGATGCTATATATTAGGAGCTGACCAGACTTTTCCTATAATTCTTCTTCTTGTCCTTTAGACCTTGCACAGATATTATATCAGAAGCATCGGTTTTCTCAATGGACGATCAAATCTCAGTTGCCTCCGTTCAGGGCTATAGAGCAAACATGGTGCTTGAGTCCGACTGGGAAGGACCATCCTAAAAACTCCACGTATTGATAGGCTAACCTATATCTCTTGCATTTGGAAAAGAGCTGATTTTACTCACGTAAGTTTTAGTAGTAATTACTCACCACTGTGTTGGAGTATTTTCGTTTTGACCGGATATATGCCAGCAACAACATGACAACGGCAAAAGGATATAACAGAGTCCACAGTGCTTCGTCCTGTGGCATTATGTCGTTGTGGTTTTCTCTGGTCTTCCTCTTCCTCGTGCTCCCTGGAGTGTATTCTGCCTACGAGAGATGCCCACGGGAATGCAACTGTCGTTCCAGAGGCTTTGTGGACTGTAGCTTCAGAAATTTGAACTACGTACCTAGAGGAATACCCAAATATGTGCAGAGATTGTAAGTACTGACACGTAGAAATAGTAATCCCTTTGTTTCTCTATCTTTATCTCTCTCTTTCTCTCTCTCTCTCTCTCTCTCTCTCTCTTTTTTTTTTTCTCTCTCTCTCTCTTTCTCTCTCGTGCGCGCGTGTGTGTCTCTCTGTCCCTCTCTTTAACTCATTGTTTAAGCCCTTTACCTTTCTCCCCGTATCTTTCCTTATGTTTTCTCTCGTGGTCTCTCTT